GGCGCGGACGGCGGCGCGCAGGCGGTGGACCAAAGCGCGGCGTGGGGCGCCGGCGGCGCGTGGGGCGCGTGGACGTGAGCGTGGCTGCGGAGGCGCCTCGCTCGGCAGGACGCACACCTCTTGCTCTGGTCAAGTTCAGCAACGGTGTTGCATCGCCGCGGGATGGCAGCACGGGCGCTTGCGCACAGGGCCTCTTGCTCAGCTGCGGAAGCCTCTGATGCGCTGCGCGCAGCCGCTCGCCCAGGGACAAGGGCTATGTGTAGTGGCAGCGGCGGGGCTAGGGCCGGGGTGGGGGCCTTGTGCAGTGGTGGCAGGATGGGTTAAAGTTCTTTCAGCCCTTTATAGCGCTGCAGGCAGCTGCTGTTTTCTACCCCGTGATCTGATGTGCAGCAGGGACACTACGTCTTCCTTCCATTGTGTGAGTTACTGGAGAGATGAATGATCTGCAGCAGCGCGCTCACAGCGTGCGACCACACCTGCTGGTGATCGTGGCGCGCAACAAAGTGTAAACCTCAGTCACATTACAGCATTTCACATCACAGTGAGCCGACGGCAAGGTTGAGAGCAAAATGGTACACAAGGCTCTACAAGCAACCCAGCATCAAACCATTACTGCAGCACAAGGCCGTGTCACTGCGACCGCCCTGCACCGCGATGCGCCCGCCGCGCGGTCGTGTCAGGGGACAAGCCAGGGGCCCGCGTCAGCACGCCGCACCGCCCCCGGCCGCCCACGTGGCGGCCGCATCGCGGTGCAGGCAGCCGCTGTTTTCTAGCTCGTGATCCAACATGCAGCAGGGACCTGCTCATTTGCTTCAGGTGTGTGCTCAAGTCGAGAGACGAATGATCTGCAGCAGCGCGCTCACAGCATGCGACTTCTCCTGCTGGTGATCGTGGCGCGCAACAAAGTGTAAACCTCAGTCACATTACAGCACCTCACCTCACATCGAGCTGACGGCAAGGTAGAGAACAAAATACACAAGGATCGACAAGCAATCCAGCATCAAATCGTCAGCGCAAGGCAGGAGTAGGACGACCGCCCTGCACCGCGATGCGGCCGCCACGCGGTCGTGTCGAGGGCCACGTCAGGGGCCCGCATCAGCACGCCGCGCCGCCCCCGGTCGCCCATGCGCGCCCGTGACGGCGGCCGGGAGATGGGCCCGCATCAGCGCGCCTCGCCGCGCCCGCACCCCTACCCGCGCCGGCACCCCTACCCGCGCCCGCGCCCCCACCCGGCGGCCCCTAGCCGCCCACGCCCCCGCCGCCGCCCCGCCCGAACAGCTTGTCCAGCAGCGCCACCGGCGGCCGTGCCTTGCCGCTCACGGGCCGCCCCATCACGTCAAACGGCCCGGCCTTGCGCCCCGCCGTGCGCCGCGCCTCGCGCCGCGCCTCTGGGGACTCCGGCTTTGGCACCGCCGCAATGGTGGCGTCCTGCAGCGCGCCGCGTAGCAGCAGCGCCGGCCCCGCCGCCGCCGCCGCCGCCAGCCCAACGCCAGGCTGCAGAGGCCGCCCGCCGGCGCCTGCGGCCGGGGGCGGTGGGGCGCGCGGCGCCAGGGCCTGCATTTCGAGGGCCGCGGGGTCGTCGCGCGCGGCGCCGGCGGCGGAGGCGTGCGCGGCCACGTCTGCGCGGGACAACTGGTAGAGGCGCCGCAGCTCCGGGCTCGCCTGGAGGGCAGGGGGCGGCGGGCAGGTGCGGCGGGTGTGTGTGTGTGGGGGAGGAAGGTCCGGATGTGTCGAGAGCGCGGGGCCTCCCGGCCCGCGAGACCCGCTTCCAGCAAGCGGGCGTCGCCCGCGGCGCGGTCTGGGAATCAACGGGCGCCCCGGCGCGTGTTCACACGCCCTGCACGGCCCCGAGCCGCGGGCTCCCACCTGGAACAGGCCCCCTCCCATGTACTGCACATCTGTGTAGTCCAAGCGCCGCGCACGCGCGCCCGCGGGCCGCGCCCCCGCCCCTGCCGCCGCGCTCCGCGCGCCACCGCCGCCGCTGCCATTCCCGGGCTCCCCCGCCAGGCAGCTGTCGCCGCCACCACGGCGCCGGCGCCGCAAGTCAATCGCTGCCAGGAGGCGGCCTTTGGGGTCGAGCGCCTGCCGGGGCTGCGCCGCGGCGCCTTGCAGGCTCCCGGGCGCTGCGGACCCGCTTGCCGGCCTGCTGCTGCCGTCCCCACCCCCGTCCCCATCCTCGTCGCTGCCGCTGCCGCTGCCATCGCCCCCAGCCCCGCCCGCCGCCACCCAAGCGGCAGCGCCGCCGCCGCCCGCCGCCGCGACGCGCACGGCGCGGTGGCGCACGTGCTGCGCGTTGCGCGCCGCGACCAGCGTTCGAGGGTGGTCGCGGCCGAGGACCTCGGACAGCAGATCGCGCGCGCCCTCCAGCAGCCTCAGGCCGCGCGCGCTCTGGCCGAGACGGTCCAGCACGCATCCGAGGTTGTGAGCGGCGACGGCGGTGTCGGCGTGGCCGGGGCCGAGGGCGGCGCACTCCTGCCGGATGACCAAAGCCCTCACGCAGTGCTCAAACGCGCCCTGAGGAGGTTGTGCCGGCCGGGGGCTCGCAGTCAGAAATACGAGGTTGCAAAAAGCAAGACCCAGGAAAGTTTCCGTCTTCACGCTCGCATCTTTGTGGCCGTGTGAGGGCGGCTGCACGCTTTGTCAAACCATCCGGGTCTGTGTGCGGCGGCGTCCGTCAGGCCGGAGAGCACGCCGATGCCACCGGCCGCCGCCCAAGCTTGGACGCGCTCCAACACCCCCTTCCCCCCCCTATTGGTGAAACCACCAAAGCAGGTCAAAACCCTGCCATGACACACGCGCCCCTTCGATCGGCACCCACGAGCAGGGCGCACAACACCACTAACATGCAGCCCGTTGGATGGCCCCGTAAAGCACAGCATCCCCAGCCACAGCACGCAGCCCTGCAGGCGGCCCCCACCTGCAGGTCCCCCAGGTGGTGCATCACCACCCCCGCAGCGCCATGCCACGCCGCCGCCTCCGCCCCCGCCTCGTGGACCCACGCCAGCGCCGGCGCCGCACTGCGCAGCTCCCGCAGCGCCGCGGCGTCGCGGCCGGCGGTCAGCAGCACGCCGGCGGCGGCGCGGCCGAAGAAAAGCGTCAGCTGCGGCCCCAGCGGCCCCGCAGCCGCTGAGCTGCCCGTTGCGCGCTCCTGCTCGGCCCCGGCGTCGCACTGCCCCTCCTCGCGCCACGTCAGCGTGCGCGCAGCCCTCAACCCGCGGACCTTACAGTCAAAAGGTGCGTCTGCACCCAAATCCAAACCGCAACTGCTGCAGGAGGATGTGTCGTCGTCGCCGGCGGCGCCGGCCGTGGCGCAGGTGGCGCCCCGCGCCTCCCAAGCCTCCCGCGCCGCCTGCAGCAGGGCCAGGGCGTCGTCGCAGCGCCGCTGCGCGTGCGCGTCGCAGGCGGCCCGCACCAGCTCGCGCACCGCAGGAGGGCAGCCCGCAGGCGGCAGCACGGGCTCCTGTGTGTGTTGAAGCGACAGTGCCAGACGTGTATGCATCAAAAGGTGCGCATCGTAGTTGGCTTCTGACGCCGCCGCACCTGGCTATGCAAGAATGCAGCAGCCTGGCTCTCAGGTGCGGCGCATGCGTCCCTGCCTGCACCCAGCCCGAAAGCCCGACCTGGACAAAGCAGCGCCCCACCTGCAGCAGGACTGGCTTGTAGTAGGAAGACGACAGGTAGCTGCCGCCGCCGCCGCCGCCCGCAGCAGCCTCGAGCTCTGCACACTCTGCCGCGCCTCCCGGCGCCCGTGCGTCCGCCTGCCCCCCAAAGTCCATGGCCCACCACTCTGCGTACGGGTCGGCGCCCGCCTCCCGCCCGCCGCCGCCGCCCGCCGGCCCGAGCTGCGCGGCGCCGCCGCCGCCGGCGCCGGCCATCAGCGCGGCGTGCGCCGGGAGCGGCGGGAGGCCGAGCTGCGTGAAAAAGGCGGCCAGGCGCTGCTCCGGCCGCGCAAAGGCGCCGCCGAAGCGGCGGGCGCGGAAGGCGGAGAGGCCCAGCAGGGCGAGGGCTTCGATGAACTCTGATGGCTGGAGGTCCGACACCAGGTGGGTCTGATGTGGGCAGAAGGGCGCCGGGGTTGGGGCGGGCATGTGGCAAGGGGCTGGGTCCGTCGGGGTGGGGTGCGGTGGGTTAGGGTGGCGTGAGGGCAGTCGGGCAGGTGTCCTTTGTTGACGCGAGGAGAAACAGAGTGAAGGATGTGTGCTTGCTCTTCCTGCAACCAAGGGTAGTTCCAATTCCCATTGTTGAAATGATGACCGAGAGGTGCTGAGCTAGCACGATGCATAACCCGCACGGCCGCAGCCGCGAGGAACCTTTGCCTGCAGCCGGCCCCACCGTGTGCAGCCTCGCCCACCTCTGGCCGGCCCCCAAAGTCGACGCGCCGCAGCGCCTCCTCTACATCCCAAGGCTGCAGCAGCTGCGGGATGGCGCCCCTATCCTGCAGCAGCACAAACAGGCTGCGGAAGCTCAGAGGACACAGCGGAGGCCCCCCATCGTCATCCCTTGTGGGGCCCTCTGCCGCGGCGGGCGGCGGGCTGTGCAGCTGCGGCCGCTGAGGAGATGTCGAGCAGGGCTGGCCAGACGGCGCCGCGTCGGCGTCGAGCGCGGCCGCTGCCTGCAGCAGGCGCTGCATGTCGGGCGCCCAGGCCTGCAGTAGGGCCGCCACGCCGGGCGTGTGCAGCGTGGCGCTGCACTCGTCAAACCTGGGGGAGCCAGGGTGCGTTGGCAAGGTTGGGTGCGGGTGCAACGTGCGAGTCGCACCAGCAAAAAACCACCAGGCTTTCATTGACAACATCACAACCCCTCACAGCACCCCCCAACTGCGCCACTGCTGGTCCGCCTGCCCGCACCCGCCCGCCCCACCTGTTGCGCCGCCGCTGCACCGCAGGCGTCACGTGGCGCTCCACCAACAGGCACCAGGCAGTGACCTTGTTTGCAATTCGCGGGTACTTGGCGCACGCCAGCCGCCGCAACGCCTCGCCAAACTGATCTCCTGTCAGGCAGGGCCGCGGGGGCGTCGCCGCCAGGCACGGCGCGGCGCCGGAACCCGCGCCCAGGCTCGAGCTTGAACAGCTGCTGCCGCCGCTGCTGTCTGTCGCCGCGGTGACACTGCTGCTGGGCCGGCTGCCACCATCTCCGTCCTGCGTGCTGTGCCCAGGGCTCGCCGATGAGGAGGGGCTGGGTGAGCAGCTGCGGCCCGCACTGCCCTCCTCCCCTTCCTCCGCCCCTCCCTCCTCGCTCCCGCTGCCCGTCCCGCTCCCAGAGCCGGCGTCGTCGCTGCTCTGCGCCTCGCTGCTGCGGCTCTGATCGGCGACGCCGCCAGTGACGCGCCCTTGAGGCCCACGACCGCTGGCCCGGGGCCCCTGTCGCGCTCCTGACGGCCCTCCCTTCTGCCTGTGTCCGCCAGCAGCCTGCGCCGCGCCGCCGGCCCCGCCCCAGCCGCGGCGCAACCGGTCCTCCGCCGCCAGGCTGGCCCTCGCGTCGACGCCCAGCTGGGCCAGCCGCTGCTCCGCAACACTTTGCATGAATGGCGACTGCGCGCCCCCGCCGCCGCGGGGCCTGCAGCCGGCCGCCTCGTCGCCGCGGCCGCCAGCCCCAGGGCCGTCCGCCCGCGGCGGCGCGGCGCGGCGGGCCCTTTTGGGGGGCGGCGGCTGCTGGACGGGTACGCAGCCAGAGGTGAGGCCTCGAAATAGGGCGTCCGCCTCTGACAGGGGGACACTGCGGGAGGCGGCGCAGCAGGAGGGATTGGCAATCATGTGCATTGCGGGATGGATGGCGCGAGGCCGCCAACGCGGAGGGGGCGCCGGCTGCGGCAAGCACGCACTCTGCTAGAGAAGCAGCCGTGTGTCCCCGCCGCGGATGCAGGTTCTAGGACAGTGAGCCAAAGGGGTGAGGCAGCGCCGAGCGTTTGCAGTGGAATCGCCTGACCCTAGCCACGGCTGGCGGCGCAGGGCCGCCCGCCCCGCCCACCTGCGGTCTCCCTCGCTGGCGCCGCCGCCCCCGCCGGCCGCGCCGCCCCCACAGATCTTCGCGTCGAGCAGCAGCCGCCTGAATCCCGGCAGATCCACAGCAAACGCCGCTGCGCCGCGACACTGCGACCCGCGTGCCGCGCTCCCCGCCGCCGCAGCAGCCGCGGTCGCGCCGGCCTTTGGGCCGCGGCCATAGACGCTCTGCGAGTCCAAGCTGCAGCTGAGCGAGTAGCAGCGCCGCACAGCGGCCTGCAGCTCGGCCTCGGCGCGCCGCCCGGCTGCGGGGCCGCCGCCGCCGGCGGCCGCTGGGGCGAGCCGCGGGGCGGCCGCGGAGCTTCCTCCAGCAGGGCCCGAGAGCGCCCGGTCTCGCCAGCGGCGGGCCAGGTTTGTGACGGTGCGGAGGTGCTCCTGGGCGGGTGGGAGGAGGGTTGGGGACCCGGGTTTGTGATCGACGTTGGCCTCTGCATTGCTGCACAGCGCCTCACGCGACAGGGTCTCACCCGGGCCCGCCGCCGTTGTTGCAGGCGCCGGCGCAGAGCTGCACCTGGTGTGCCCGCAAGCCCACGGCTGTCAACGGGCAACCCCGTCGGCCAGCCCTGTCGCGTCGCGCGTCATGCGCCGCGAGAGGTGGCGTGGAGTGGGTGCTGCAGCACTCAGCTATAGCCGTTTTCACTGAAACCCCCTGGCCACCTGAACCTCGCACCTGCAGCTCCGGTCCCAGCTCCAGGGGCGGCGCCGCCTTGGCTGTGAGGTCCAGCAGCCCGCTGCACCTCAGGGCGGCGCACACCAGCAGCAGCTCCAAAAACTGGGGGTAGCTGACGCGCGATGACATCAGGTCGACGCACACGCCGGCGCCGGCACCGACACCCGCGCGGCGGCGCGCGCCAGGCTTCGCACTGCCGGTCACGCGCGGCTGCTGGCCCTGTTGCTGCGTGGCCTGCGGGGCAGCGCATGGCGGTCCCGTTGCTGCGCTGTCAGCAGGACCCACCACGAAGCTGCCCAGCAGCTCCGCTAGCACAAACACAGTCCATGTGTCCTGCCGCTCCTGCTCGCGCTCCGCAGCCACCACTGATTCAGAAGCGGCGGCGGCCTGCTGCTGCCTGAGCAGCGCCTGCTGCTCCTGGAACGTCGCCCCGCCGCCGGCCCCTGAGCGGGTCCCCGGGCTGGCGCCGCCGCCGATCCCGCGGGGCGGCAGGGACGACATGCGCGACGCGGCGCTTCCAGTGCGCCGCGGCGTCGCGCGGCCCTGGCCGCCGTAGCTGCCGCAGGCTGCTGCGATGCGGTCTGGCGCTGCGGTACCCGCGTGGCGGGCGCGGGTGGGCACCAGTACCGCGTCGTCCAGCAGTGACCCGTCGATGACGTCACCTACGTGCAGGCTGACGTGGCATGGGGGGTTGCACAGGGCGGGGGCCATACTTGGGCTATTAAATGGTGGGTTGGCAGGTATGATCACATGAGCAGGGGGGATGCAGGATCCGTTGTTGCCTGTTTGTGTGTGTGAACACACACACACACACACATGTGTGTTTGTGTGTGTGGAAACACACACGTGTGTGTTCACACACGCATGTGTGTGTGTGTGAGTGTGACTGTGTGTGTCTGTTTGTGTGCACTGACCCCTGAAGCGCCCTGGGCCCTGTAACCAGGCCAACTGCGGCCTGACAGTCACCCGGTGTGAGCTGTCCAGGGCCCCACCTTTCTGGCTCCCTGCTGGCCCGCCTGCTGAAGCCGGGGCCCGCCATGCGCCTGCTGCCAGACAACGTGCGGGCGCTGCCGCTGCTCCACTGCCGAGACAGCCCCAAGCCTGCGCCGGGCGGAGAGGCCGGCGGCGCGCCGCCTGTCCCCCACTGACCAGACCAGTCCTCGTCCTCGCTGCTGCTCCCCCAGCGGCGGCTTGCGCCGCGCGTGAGCGGGGAAGCCCCAGGTGACTGAGGCGCGGGCACGTGCTGAGGCGGCTTGCTGCCGGGCGCCTCCTGCGCCGGGCGGCTGCCGCCCCCAGAGCGGCGGCTGGGGACTCTGGACAGCGTGCGGCGCAGGCCGGCGGCGCCGGCGCCCCCGCTGCTGCTGGCCTGCTGGCCGCGCCGCTGGTGAGCTGGGGCGGCCTCCTCCAAAAGCACCCCCAGCCCAACACCGCCAGGGGTCCTTGAAAAGAAAGGGGTGGGAAGAAGCGGGCTATGAGTGCAAGCGAGTACCTTGATGGCACGCGCGCGTTCCCTCTTGCACTGTGCGGGCACGCTGACCTTGTGTCACAGCTCGGACGCCGCACCTGGCGCGACGCCCAGGCAGCTGCTGCGTCCCGTCCAGAGCCTCCCCGAACGCCGACGGCCCGCGCGCCGGCATGAGCAGGGACGGCATCATTGGAGCGCCGCTGCTGCCGCCAACGCGCCCCTCCATGTCGCCGGGCCCCGCGCCCGCCAACCGCTGCAGCTGGGCGATGTACAGGGTCAGCACGCGCGGCACAAGGCCCGCCTTGCGCAGGAATGCCGCCAGGCGGCCAAGCGGCAGCCCAAAGCGTGCAGCAGCTGCCTGCTGCAGCCGCTGCTGCTGCTGCTGCTGCTGCTGCTGCTGCTGCTGCTGCTGCTGCTGCTGCTGCTGCTGCTTCGGCCCCCGCTCAGCGCCCTGCGCCGCCGCCCCAGCCGGCGCAGACTCGGCCCAGGCTGCGGCTTCGCCTGACATGGCGGCGTCCTTCATCCCCAGCCGCGCGTCGGCCAGGCTGATCGACAGGTCGGCTGCGCTGCCGCCGCCGCCCGCCAGGTGCACGTAGATCCCGTGCAGCATCTCGCTTGCGCCGGCTGTCGAGCCTGCGGCGGCGGCAGCGCCGCTGCAGCCGTCCTCGAGGGCGGTGATGATGTCGGGCTGCATGACCTGTCGCAGGATCCACGGCGGGCCGCGGTCCGCGCGCCGCCCCCGCAGCCGCGCCACGTGCCGCGCCGCCAGCAGGCGCAGCAGCGCCTCGGGGTCCCGCCGCAGCGGCGGGTGGCGGTTGCGTGTCAGCAGCAGCAGCAGCTCCAGCAGCTCTGCGGGGTCCAAGGTTGTGGGGCCCCAGCTGCTTCGGACCGTGGCGCCGCCGACGCCGTTTGGGGTGCGGCCTCTGCTGTCCGCCGGGCCGCCTCCGCCGCCACTGCCGGCCGTGCTGCCAGGAGGCGGTGATCCGCGAGCGCCCGGCAACGGCGGCCGCCCCAGGGGCGGCGACGCTGCCGCGATGGTCAAAGGCACGCCTGGCCGCTCCACCGGGAGGAACAGCAGGCGCGGCGCCAGGCCGCCCGGCGCACCATCCTCCACTCCACCCTCTCCTCCAGCGCCGCCGCTGCGTGGCCTCAAGTCCGGCGCCGGCGCCGGCCCCGGCGGCTGCTGCCGGCTGTGTGCGGGCCCGAGCCTGCCCAGCTTCCGGTGCAGCATCAGGCGGAAGGCGTCGCTGATGTCAGCGTACTCTGTGACGTCATCGACCAGGCCGATTTCGCGGCACAGCATAAACACGCCGTGCAGGGCCACCTCCAGCTGGAGGGGCGGCTGGGCTGCAGCTGCACCTTCCATTGCCTGCGGCCGCAATTGCAACTGCGACTGCGGCCCAGGCTGAGCCGCGGCGTTGGAGTGCGGAGTGCTCGCGGCAACCGCGGAGCCTGAGGAAGTTGCAGTTTCCGAAGGAGCCTTCAGCCGCTGGGTTGGGCCCTGGTGGTGTGCCACCTGGTTAGCGAGACCTGCGCCGGCGCTGCTGCTGCCAGGCCCTTCCTGTGGCGCCGGCTCGGCGCCCCCTTCGACAATCGCACCCCCTGTGGGCCCCGCTTCACAGAACGATACCGCCTTGCCCGCAGCAGCCCCTGCGGCCGCCGCGCCCCTCTTCGCTGCCAGCAGCGGCGGCAGCGCGTCGCCGCTGCCGCTGCCGCTTCCGGCGTGGGCGGCGCGGCCGCCGCCACCGGCCGGGCCTGCCTGCTCCGCAGGTGCCACGCCGAACGCGCCACCAGCCCGCCGCGGCAACCCAATCGACACGACTGTGGACGGAGCGTAGGCACGGCCGCCGCCCATCGACCGCGCGCCGCCGCCTGCGTCGGAGCCGAGCACGCTCCCGCGCGTCACGCAGCCGGCCCCCGCCGCAGTGCTGGCGCCGCCCCAGGTGCTCGCTGCGCAGCCAGCGCTGCCGCCGCCGCCGCCCACCGCGCCGGCCCCGGCGTCGAGAGGGAGCAACCCCGCCTCCTTGGCGCCAGCGCACGCGCGCATGTACGCCCTCAATACTGCCAGCACTGCATCGCGCACCTCCGCCACGGACGGCGTGTGAATGCTGGGTCCGCAGAGCAGCAACGTGTGCGCCTCGCCGCAGGCCAGCTGCTCGGCAGCTTCCTCGTCCGGATCGTACGGCGGGCTTGAGCCCAATTCGTGGCGCGGCCACTTTTGCTGCCGCTCTAGCGCTGCTAACCTTTCAAGGGCGCCTTCCGTGTCGCTGTCGCTGTCATTGCCATCGCCGTCGCCGTTGCTGCCGCCGGCAGCGGCAGGCTTGGTGGCTGTCAGAGGCGCGGTGGCTGCGCTCGCCGACGACTGCGGGGGCTGCTGCACGTGCAGTGCAACCCTCACGCGGCCCGCTGCGCTAACAGCGCACTGCACGCTGATGCGCGGCTGCTCAATGGCGCTGGGACCATTGATTGCAGGCGGAGGCGCAGCTGGCGCTGCTACCGCTTGCTGCTGCTGCCGCTGCTGTGGCTGCTGCTGTTGCTGCTGCTCAAGCGCCCGAGAACGCTCGCTCTGCGCCTGCGCACGCATGCTTGGCGGCATGGCCGCACGGCTGCCAAACAACAGGAGGGCCCCGCCTTCTGTCACCGCCGCCGCGCCCTCAACGCCGCACGCAATTGCGCGGACTGGGGAGCCAGCCAGCCACGCGACCGGCGCATGCTTTACGGTCTCGCTGGCCCCTGCTGCGCCTGCACCGCCGCCGCCGCCGCTGCCGCCACGGCCGCTGCTGCCGCGGCCGCCGCCGCCGCCGACCAGCGCGCAGTCGCCCCAGACGTACAGCTCGCCAGAGCATCCGAGTGCCATCGACGCGGCTCCTGCGGCTACAGACACACACGGCCGCAGGCCCTGCACCTGGGCTGGCGCCAGGCGGTCCCTGTTGTCCGCAAGGCCCAGCGCGCGGCGCCCGTTGTAGCCGAACGCGTACACGCGGCCGTCGGCGGTCAGCGCGAGCGTGTGGGCGCTGCCGCAGGCGGCCTGCAGCACCGTGGCGCCGCGGAGGGCGCCGTCCACCGCGGAGGGCGGCTGCGCGTCGGGCTCAAAACCCAGGCCAAGGCGGCCATACCTGGGTGAGCACGCAGGGGGCCCGCGGGCAGACCTAAAGCGTGGCCAGGCTGCCCCAAAGCGGCGTCTAGAAGGAGTTGCGGCGCTGCAGGGCTGCCCCGCAGCTGGCCCTCCTCAGGTGCAGGGACATTTGTGCTTGGCAAGCGCGACTGCAGAGCCCCCTGTCCTGAGCCGCGCGCCTCACCTGCCGCACCCAAAGGCGCACAGCACGCCGCCCTCCTGGACCACCGCACTGTGCTTTGACCCGGCGGAGACGTGGACCAGGCGCGCGCCGTCGAACGAGTGCACGCGCGCCGGCTGCCAGATGGTTTGACATGCGCTGCACGGCAGGCCGCACTGCCCCTGCGTGTGGTATTGACGCGGAGTAGGACTAAGGGGCGCGGTGGGCGTGCGCAAAGCGCGAGTGCCGGCCCTGGCCGGCTGGTCACGCTCGAAGCCGGCGCCCCTACCTTTGAATTGTCGCCCCAGGCCATCAAGCCGGACGACTGCAGGCTGGCCAGGGTGTGAGCCTGCAAAGCGGCAGGGGCACGGCATGGTTGCGCTGGCAGGCTTCAGTTCTCCGCCACTGACTGACGACAACTCAGGCTGACGTGGTTGGCTGCTGAGTGCTCAGGGCGAGACTCCGCCTGTGCAAACCAGCTGCAGTGCCGGGGTGCCGCTGATGCCCATTGCGAAGCAACCACTCTCAATCGACTCACCGCGCCGCAGGCCACCATGTGCACCGCCTGGCCAATGGTTACGCGGTAGACATGCAGCTGTCTGGCAGACGCCCCGTCCGCCTCGGCGGCGGCACACCCCTCAGGAACGGCCTCGATTTGGGCGTTCGCCTCCAGCGCCTGCTGCTGCTGCCTGTGCAGCGCCTGCTGCTGCTTCAGGGATTGCAGCAGCGAGGGCGGCAGGCGCACGCTGCTCGCAAGAAGCGCGAGCGAGTCCAGCTTTGTCAGCCGCCGCGACGCGGCATCACCGGTTACACTGGTCTCATCGCCCACATCGGCAGGCAGCGCGTGGCTGATAACAGGGGCTGCGTCCTTAGCGACACCGCACTGGCCGGCTTCATTGGCGCCCCATGTGTAAACGTGCCCCGCCCCGTCTGCTGCGGCGCTGTGCGCGCGGCCAGCGGCGCAGCTGACGAATACAACGCCGCCGCGGATCGACAGCGGCTCCGCGCTGCTAACGGCTGGCGTGCTGGCATCGGCGCCGTCGGGGGCGCGGCGGCCAAACGTCCAGACGCGCCGCTGCTGCACACTGCCGGACAGCACCTCCCACACGCGCAAGCAGCGTGTTTCGGTCGGCAGGTGCAGCGACGCGCCTGCGTAGAGAAGCAAGCCGTGATTGAGAATCTCACATGCAAAACTGCATGCAGATCCTCCAGGCAACAAGCCGATGGCTCAAAACACACGGGCCAAGCGCGGGCTGCTTTGAACACGTGGGTGCAAATGGCTGCATGCCCACCTCGCCGCATGTGTCGGAGCCGATCCATGACGGCCTTTGCATCGTCAATCGCCACCTTGTAGTCAAGCAGCTGCCGCGAGGGCGACCGCAGCTGTTGGTGGGCATGCTGTTGCAGCTGTGGGTCCAGCTGCTGTTGCTGCTGCTGCCCTCCTCTGGCTGCCACATACGGTGCTGGCATGGGCGCCAGCCGCCCTGGCATGGGTCAGTCACGCATACACGCTTCTGTTACTGATGACCTGGAGGAGTGATTCAAGGCAGCTGGGTTCTAAAATTGAGTCAACACCGTGTTGCCGAGACTTGTTGCATGCTTTATGCAGAGCGCGAAGTACGCAACACACAGACCCGAACTTCTTCAACTATGCAAGATCCACGCGTTATGGTAAAAATGGTGACACAGACGATCTAGCCATCGCAGTGCCCAAGACTCACCTCAGTTCACGAGCTGGGTGGCGTGGTGAACAGCAGGGACGCGTTGGTGCCACCAAATCCGAACGAGTTGCAAAGCGCCGCCATCGGCCCGCTGCCCAAGTGCAGCGCGTTGCCCGCGACCAACAACGGCAGCAGCAACGGGTTGGGCCGCTCCAGGTTGGCCGTCGGTGGCGCGACGCGCGCATGCAGCGCGAGGACCGTAAACGCGGCCTCGACCGCGCCGGCGGCGCCCAGCAGGTGGCCTGTCGCGCCCTTCGTTGACGACACCGCCAGCCGCCCCACCAAGCGCTCGCCAAACACCTGAAGGATCGCCTGCTGCTCGATCTCATCGCCCGTCGGCGTGCTGGTCGCGTGCGCGTTGATGTAGCGCACTGCAGCGGGGTCGACGCCGGACCCAGCGAGGGCGCGCGCCATGGCGAGCGCGGCGCCAGCACCGCCAGGGTGGGGCGCAGTGATGTGGTGGCCGTCGCCAGACATCCCGTAGCCGCGAACCTGCACGCATGCGGAGGCGCGGCACAGCGCGGCGCCGCGTCACGCCGCTCGGCATCACATGCACACGCGCATGTCGCCGCTTGGCAGGCCGACGCTGCTCAGCATGTTCCAGACGGGGGCTCCGTTGCAGCGGCCCATGGCCGTGGCACACCACGCAGAATCACCTCAGCGTACGGCTTCCGCCCGCGCGCCAGCGCGTGGCCGAGCTCCTCCAACACCAGCACCCCCGCGCCCTCGCCCATGACAAAGCCGTCCCGCCCCGCGTCAAAGGGCCGGGACGCGCGCTCTGGGGTCGCGTTGTACGCCGTTGACAGCGCCTTGAGGCGGCTGAAGCCGCCCAGCCCGATCGCATCGATGGCCGCCTCTGCCGCGCCGGCGAGCTGGGGGTGCGTTTTGGCGCAGCAGCAGGCGGCCCGACGAGTGAGGAAAGATGGAAGTTGCAGCTGTGGGTGCAGCTGCACGTGCACTCAAACGTGTGCACTAACGTTCGCTGCAGCACCCCCCCATGTGCCGCCAGGCCCTCATCCATTCCCAGGTGTGCAGGCATGAAAAACATTTCAGCCGCCAACCTACCATGACGTCAGCGTCCCCCCGCTGCACTGCCCTGAACGCGTCACCGACCGCGTGCACCCCCGTGGCGCACGCCGTCGACGGCGCCAGGTTGGGGCCCTGCAGGCTGTGCCTGATGCTGACCGCGCCGGCCGCCATGTTGGGCAGGATGCGGGGCACAAAGTAGGGCGACACCCGCCGCAGCCGGCCGGCAGCGATCAGTGTGGCCGCGTCAGCGGTGTCAGTTGTAGAGCCGATGCCCGCGCCGATGCAGACGCCGGTGGCGGCGCGCTGCTCAGGCGTGGAGGGTGCCCATCCGGCGTCAGCCAGAGCCTGTGAGTGGTGGGTTATGCAGGGGGGGGAGCTTAGGGACGCAAGTCCCTTTTGACCGACGCCCTGGGGCGGTGCAGCCAAACGGCGTGGTTTTAAACCTTTGCGCATCCTGCCGGATGAAGGCATATCGATTATACCAGCACCAAAAGTGTTTGCGCGGCACTTCCAGGAGCCGTGAACCCATTCGCTCACAGCAGTACTCGCCTCTGCTGCAGCGCACAGGGCAAACTCCATAAAGGGTGCGTTGCGGCGCGAGTCATTGCAATCATAATGCGGCCACGCCGCCAGCTGGTGTCGCGGCACGGCAGCGATGACACGGGAAGGCAGCGTCTCGAAGGCGCCGCGCTGAGGCTGCGGATTGGGGGGGCGCGTTGACGTGGAATGCATATTGGGGGTGATGCGTTTTTGGAACATGTGCCCCCTGCGTCGCATGCTCCAGGTCAGTGGCATGACCTCAGGCGCACAATGCATCTGTGAGCACGCCCATGCAGCGGCTGAAATCTTCCTCTGCCACAGGAGGGGCTGCGGCGCACCTCTGGCAGGTCCTCCGGCAGGAGCGCACGCGTGCCAGTGCGCCCCGCCACGAGCGCCGCCCAGCTGTCAGCCGCGCCAGCGCCAACTGGGCTGACGATGCCAATGCCCGTGACCACCACGCGCCGCTGCGGCAGCGGTGGCAGGCTGCCAAAGGGGTCCGCTGCGGTGGAGAGCCCGTGCGCGCCTGCTGCGAAGGGGCCGCATGCAGCAGTGAAGGCAGCTGTGTTGGCTGCCCTCAAATGTGCCAGACCAATGGCAGCTTTGGTCGTGACTGATTGCGCCACTGAACACCATGCCATCAGGAGAGTCGTGTCAGCCGGAGTTGCAAGCACCACTTGTATTGCTGGCCAGGCAGGTTCAACTTCAAAGATCAGAGTGCCACTGCAGTGAAAACGCCGGTTAGAGCCACACTGTACAATTTGAAACGTCTGCAAGAATTTGAATTTCTGCCTGTCGTGTCACATACGTTGATACGCGCTGATCTGAAAGTCTGTAAGCAAGGGTGCTTGCTTGAAATCAATCACCTTGAGCAAATTATATTTCAGCTTGACGGTCACGGTTCGTCTGCTAAGCAGCCACGGTACCAGACACTCCTTGCACAATCGGCGCAGCACAAGCAGTGCCAGAGGCGCATCTCCAGGGCCATGGAGTTTGCGACAACAGATGATATGGAGGGCATGCTGGTGAGCGCATAAGTTCGAGGTAAATCGCGCAAGGGCTAGAGTCTGGCGTGCACAGCAGACAGCAACGCCAAGACACTGCCGTACATACAGTACATGGGTACAGAACGGCAATGTGAGCGCCACCAGCATTTGCCGACATTCCAACCTGCATCCGAGGGTTTGAGCAAACCCTTTTGGCATAGAGAAAATGAAGAGTGAAGCATGCATGGTGCTGCCTCATTGCCCACAACCAGGCCAGGTATGACTGCTGGGTGTTTGATTGCGACGGGACCCTGTGGAAGGGGAACCAAGTGATTTCTGGCGTCAGGGAGGCGCTGCAGATGCTGCGAGACCAGGTGTGCAGGGACTTTACGCCAGCTGGGTTAATGTCTATGGCAGAATCAGTGGCTGTGCAGGGTGTGTGCTGCAGAAGAAGCGCTTGGCGTTGTGCATCCTGAATGGTGCACAAGCATACCAAAATGCAGGGTATTCAACCATGTTGCTGCACCTTTCTTTTGCCCAGGGCAAGCAGGTGCTCTTTGTCACCAACAACAGCATGAAAAGCCGCAAGTCTTTCAAGAAGAAGTTTGACGATTTGAACCTGCCGGTGGCGCTGGTGGGTCCCAGGGTTTGGCGCTGGTGGGTGTAATCTCTCCAGATGTTTGGGAAATGCGGATACCGCATCGTATGTTGCATCCCTCACCCATCCCTCACAATCAATGCCCGCCGCAAATCGCAGGAGGAGATCTACAGCAGCAGCTACAGCGCAGCCGCGTATCTGCAATCTGTAGGCTTCAGCAAGAAGGCAAGCAAAGGCTAGACAGCTTTTGGGCTAATCCGCAACCCCTTGAGTCCCACGCGCTGCTTGTGCAGGCACTAGGCTAAGCATTTGCGCTCCCGCATGCGTGGTCGCTCAATCCACTCTGTCAGATCCATTGCATCTACGGCTGACCTCCTCTGCGTTTCTCCACCCACGTAGGCATATGTGCTGGGGGAGCGCGGGATTTGCGAGGAGCTGGCGGTAGTAGGCATAGAGAGCATCGGCGGCCCGGAGCACAGTGAACTGCGCGTGGATTGGACTCCCATTGACATCGACCCCGAGGTGCATTGATGTATCGTTATTGCAGCCGGTGTAAAGTGGGGTGCTGGTCATTGCACTGTCTTCTCTTGTGCTGCCGTAGGCCCCATTCAGCACGTACTTGCTGCATGAGCGATGACAGGTTTCTCAGCTGGACTGCCACACCACCTTCGCCTGCTGGAACACCATCACACAGATTGGCGCTGTTGTTTGCGGGGTCGACCCAAACTTGTCCTACTACAAGGTGGGTCAGGGGGCAGTCATGCGCAATGAACCATCACACGCTTAATGCTCAAGACAGCCTGCCTTGCGTCTGGCGTGGCCTAGCCTGAGCCCACCTTGCGGGTGAGCTTGCCTCCTTGGAATGCCTTTCGCCCACAATGTCCGCTCTGCGCCCACCCTCTTACCCCCACCCCTTGCTCCAACACAAGGTGGCTTACGCGGGCCTCTGCTTGCAGCACAACCCTGGCTGCTTGTTCATTGCCACAAACCGGGACGCACGCGGCCACTTCATAGCAACGCAGGAGTGGCCCGGCGCAGGCGCCACAGTTGCGGCCGTCCAAGGTAAACAACCACGTATGCTGCAACTGTTCTGCACATGGCTGCATCGTACCTCACGCCCCGCGCCTGCAGCCTCACGTCCTCCATTTAGTGCGCCGTCCATGCACCGCTGCTCCCAGCTGTCACCGGGATCGAGCCCATTGTGACGGGCAAGCCAGCGCCCTTCATGATGGAGAACGTCTGCAGCACCCACAACACCCGGCCGGAGCGTATGCTGATGATTGGGGACAGGTAGGGAGGTGTCCTGTGCATGCGTGCCCCTGCTGCTTCCCTTCTTGAGAGGTGTCTAACTCAATTCGTCCTAGTTTTGGCGGTCCCGGTGTAAGATATGCCTGCTGGGAGGAACGGCGTTATCTCTCTGTAAGTCAACATGCTGTCTGGGTGGCACCACACGTGACAGGCTGGACACAGACATCGCATGGGGGCACAACACGGGGATGGGCACGCTGCTGGTGAGTTTGCCTCGCACGCTGCTCGCTGCCAACTGTCAGCAGCTGCGCCCGCCTCATTGCCTATGGTCGTGCAGCCCCGCTCACCCAGCGCTGCTGCACAGCCCAAACCCGCAGCTGGCTATGCTGCTGGCCTGCCCCACGCCCCACTGCCCCATGCCTGCGGCACAGGTCATGACTGGCGTCGTCTCCCCAGCTGACCTGGCGGCGGCGCGGCTGCAGCCGGGCTTCCAGGCCCCTGACTACTTGATGGCATCCTTTGGCGACCTGCTGGATGTCCAAAGATCGAAGCAGCTGCCGCAGTCAACTGCTCCATAGCGCAGGCTCATCAGGCGTGCTGAATGCGCATCGAGTGACTGTTGCTAGTACGGTATGTGACGTTCACATGTGGCGTTTGCACAAGAGGACAAGTTACCAGCAGCGCACGCAGTCCAAAGGTGCACGGTCGCAGCAAAAATGGAGCATCGAAAGGGGCAAAAATGGTTGCCGGAGTCAACGAAGGTACCTCCGGAATGGATACGTGGGTGGTGTTAATCACGCTAAATTTCAGTGCATGATCAAACACAGGGGAGATCGGCTCGCCACTACTGATGTATGAGGCAGCCAATATGATCATGCTCGGTAGACGGTACGGTGGCGGCAACCATGCGGCGCGGCCCACACGCATCACCACCGCCAGCAGGAGTCGTTGCCCACACGCCAGTTGCCACTGCAGCCGCTGCCTCCTACTTTCCCGCTCACTTGCTGCCCGCCTTGTCCTCAGCCTTGGGGGCGTCGGCGGGCTTCTTCTCGGCTTCTGCTGCTTGGTCGTTCCCCGCCGCCTGCTTCAGCTCGGTCTCAAACTCCTTGGCTGCCGTCTGGAAGCTCTTGACGGTCTTCCCTAGACCCTTGCCCAGCTCAGGAAGCTTGCTGGGACCGAAGACGAGAGCTGCCACGCCCGCAATGACGACAAGCTCGGGCACGCCGAGGCCGAACAGGCCGCGGCAGGCTACCGTCCGCTGCTGCTGGAGGCCCAGGAGCTGCTTCGGACGCGAGCTACCCGCGAATGGCTGAGCAGCGGCGCCCCTGAATTGCTGCACCCGCTGGATCTGGGCGCCCGTCGCAGGCCTGGCGACGCGAGCGGGCTCGCGTCCAATCGAGACAACACCCCTACGCATCGAGACGGCCATGCTGATGGTGTATAGGGCCCGCGAATGAGGCTTGCAGGTCGAGATGCGAGCGGAATGGTTTATTGGAGCGACGACGGCACAGCGTGAATGTTGCACGACTAAGTAGACGATCTTGTGATGCACGCATGCAAGGTGCCTGTTGTGCATCAGATCTGGCCGTGTCACCGATGGGTCACTTGAACTGCAGCTGCTGCTCCATCGAGTCAGCGGCGATGCACAACCACCCCTGCTTCACAGTATCTAGTGTCGAATATTTGATATACCGGTCTATGTGTCCAACAGCCTTCTCGTGGGCAGTTCTGCTGTCCATCTTGCACGATCCTGAGGGCCTCGGCGGACTCCAGGCGCGGACGCAGCCACCTGTTTGCTCCTTTACTAGCGCTGGAGGAGCAAATCTGAGCCCCGAGGCCCGTAAGTGGGTCGGCCCACAGGCACTCCGCCCTGCCTCTATGCCGTAAATCGGGCACAGGGCGCCCAACGCAAGACGATCCTGCGTGATGCGCTTGATGATTGCAGGTTGGTTATAACCTGTTGCTTGTGCAGGGCAGCAGTGCACCCGGCGGCCCCAGCTGTGATCATCCTGCTGCTCAGTGCGCGCTGCTTGCTGCCAAACCGTCCGCCATGCGCTTTCCACCATGGCGCAGAGGCCTGCGGCGAGGATGAGCACCATGCACACAGCCAGCGTGTGGGGACAGGGGCGCGCAGCGCTGACGCTGTCGACGATGGCGGGGCGCGTCAAGGACGGCGAGGAGGAGTGCATGATCTGCCGCGACGACGTGCCGGCCTGTGTGTCTTTCCAGCCATGCAGCCACTCAGTGTGCTTTGGGTGCGTCGAAAACATGCGCGCCAAGAACATCTTCAAGGTGGGGTCATCGGTGTGGGCGCTTTGGCGGCCGCAGCAGGGGGCGAGTGATGTGGTTGGCCGAGGGGTGGGCTGGTGCACACATCAGCAACCTTAGGAAGGGCAAGCCACTGCTGTCGCACGCATTTCTCACACCTGCCTTCCCCACAACTCGGGCTTGACGCGTGTGGCGCCTGCTCCGGTGCCCGGCGGCAACGCGCTCACCTACGCAACCACCCCTCTGCCGCTGCATTGCCCCCGCTTTGTGCAGCCTGACAAGGGCGTCAAGTGCCCCTTTTGCCGCTCCTACATCGACGGCTACAAGTCCCTCATAGGGTGAGGCCCTCCAGTAACGCAGAGTCCCAGGCGCATTGCAGTGGCGCTGCATGTCCCCACCTGATGGGCGTCCGCTGTAGTCAACTCGTGCACCTGCTGCTACTTTCCTTGGGCCCCTGGAGAAGCAGCAGCAGCAGCAGCAGCAGCAGCAGCAGCAGCAGCAGCAGCAGTGGCATCAGCAGCGACGTCAGAAGCAGCAGCACAGCAGAAGCAGCAGCAGCAGATGCAGCAGCATGCCCTTCTCGCACAGTGCCTTGCCGACCCTGACCCGCCCTGAACAACACGTGCATTGCACTCCGCGCTTCTCCGGTGCCTCCTGGCCTGCCGCAGGGCCGACCCGTCCGTGCTTGCATTCCTGGAGAAGGCCAACAAGGCGGCGTCGACGGCGGCGCAGGCGCGTGCGATCATGGAGCGCAAGGCGGCGGCGGCGGCACGTGCGGCAGTGTCTGATGGGCGGGCGGCGTACTCTGGCGGCAGGAGCCAGGTGGGCTGCGTGATAGGGGGGCGGACAGTTGCGCAGCTGGGCGGCGGCAGGGCGGTGGCTGCAGAAGCAGCAAAGGTATTAAATGCAGCGGCAATGTCTAGTTGAGCCTTTGCTGGGCCAGGCTGCATTCTGCGGCACCAGCCATGCACCGGCCGCTAGGTCGAGCGAGCACCGCATGAGAACTCCTGGCAGCAGGATTCAAGCAGTGAGCGGAGCACCCCCTTCTTGTTCCACGTGCAGCATGCAACCAGGCCCCCTTCTCGCCACCAATACCTGTGCGGCCCCCGCCCCTACCTCGCCACACCTCTCAACCTCAGGGCACGACGTCGACATCGGCGTACCAGTCTGCGGTGTCTAGCCAGGACGACCGCTGGAACTGCCAGGGCTGCGGCGGCACCAACTACATATGGCGCGAGTTCTGCAGCCGATGCCGGCGCCCCAACCCGTCGCCACCGCCGGCCCTGGGCTTCAACAAAAAGGTTTGATTTTGAAGTGCAGGGATGAGGTGGCTACTTTTGCCGTGGATGTGCTATGTGGGCTGCCGTGGCACATGCACGCACGCACGTTTTGCAAAGTTTTGTTGCGCTCAACAATATGCACAGGGCCTCGCAGCTCGTTGAAGCTGAAGGGCGCCCCTCTGAGTCTGTTTGACGCTGCCCTCTGGCCCCTTTGCACACCGCATACCCGCCCTGCTCCGCCCTGCATAATATCTCCTGCCGCCCCACCCCTGCCCCCTCTTTGGCGTGAGGCCCACCCCCTGATTCTCTAACCCTGCACACGCCAACCCTCACGCGCACCACGCTTGCCGCTCGCCTTGACCCCGGACCCAACCCAGGAGATTCTCAAGATGTCTCCGGAAGAGATTGTCGCCCTGATCCGCGACAAGGGCGGCCTGGGTCTGGCGCGGCCGCTGCTGGACATGGGCGTCAACGTGGACGCGTTCAAGATCACGGGTGCGTGTTTCTGGGTATGTGAGTGCGCGTGCATGCGTGTGCATCACGTTGCAAGCTCGTGTGTGTGTGTGTGTGTGTGTGTGCGTGCGTGCGTGCGTGCGTGTGCGGGGAGGGGGGGAG